CAGAGAATCAATGACAGATTCAATAGTTGCTGGCTCTACAGCCTCTGGCTCTTTAGTAACAGACAGGCTCTACAGCATCACGTTCACCACTCATAGGTTCAGAGTGGCTTATAGTTTGATTTTGAAGACTTTTTTGGATTATGCTGACAGGTTGATCTGATGTGACCCACGTCAATTCTGTCTAAATGGAAATGAATGGTGGTGGTGGGTTGAAGTAGCTGAGACAACAGCAGCATAGGTTCTGGTTAGTGGAGTTGGTGGAGACGGAGTTTCAATTAGCTTCTTAGCCTCGTTAAACGAGATAATGTTTTCATGTTTGAGCTTCAGGAGTCTGTATTGTTTTTGCCACACTGGACATAACCCACGTGAAGCCAATGTTGCTCTATGCAGTTAGAACATTTGATTTCGGTTGTGCATTCGGTGTTGTCATGGCCGTCACCAAAGACCACAGACTAATCACATAATTTAGAGACATGTCCAGCCTTTGGCACTTCAAACACCAAAGTGGATTGGGGACATACAACTCCACTCCTATGTTAAGATAACCAGGTTTTATTGACTTAGGAATGGACGAAAGTGTAATGCTGAGCAGATAAGTGTTTGACGGGATGATGTCACCATCTCAAGTTTTCATAGTAAAATGTTTAACTGCTGGTACTCCTTCAATTTTCATTCAACTTTAATTTGTTGCTCTGACATGTCGGACAGGCAACAATGACTCAAGGTAAAAAGTTCAAGGTTTTGTGCATGACACAGGAACCTCAATATTTTCCACTGTAGTTCATGACTAAAGAGTGAGAGATTGTCGTCTCACTATGACGACATGTCACATTTTCACTTCTCCAATAATTCCAGAAAATGCTTTGGAGATGGCGATTGGATTAAGCTTTATATTTTGTTTATCAGCTGCCTCAATCTCAATAAATCGGGCTCAGGAATTCAATCCACGAGAATTGTTCATTTTGATCCGTTTCAACCACGTCAAGATGTCTTCGTTTTGAACCAGATTATTGTTGGGTCATGGTGAACAAAAGTGATTTATCACCCCTGGTCCCTACCAACCACGTCAAGAAGTCTTTTTTTTTAAACCAGAGTATTGTTTGGTCATGGTGAACAAAAGTGATTTATCACCCCTGGTCCCTACCAACCACGTCAAGATGTCTTCGTTTTGAACCAGAGTATTGTTGAGTCATGGTGAACAAAAGTGATTTATCACCACTGGTCCCTACAAACCATGGAATACAACAAAGAACGGTGTTTTGGTGCACCGGATATCCAAGATGCAAACACTTGACATGCAGGGGTGTTATACTCCAGCAAATAGGACACAAATATAAATATTTGTATGATAAATAAAATGCAAGGATGGCAGGGGCTATAACAAGAAATTGGATACACACTGACTTTTGGAGGTCAGCATCACCAGACTGGCACATGAGCAACCGCCTTCTGGCATACGACTCGAGGCAGTTGTTACACAAATAATTTGAGAATTCAAACATGTTATACATGGCCAAGACCAAGCAATAAATGCATGTAAATTACGAGTGTAGTGTGGTAAGCAAAGGAACCAGTGCCCTCAACTACCAGACTCCCGTCCTCCACCGACAAAGGGACGCAACCCACTGCAAACAGGTTTCCCAATTTGGTCGCCTCTTATCACAAGCAATGGGGTGATGGGGGCACTCTCTACCCCGGGTCCAAACGGGAAGCTCCACTGTCAACATCCGGATCTTCAGCAACTCAAACATGTGGTAAGAGGTGGTATCTAGATCTGGGACTACTCTTATAGTCACTGCAAACTAGAGGCATGTGCAATTGTAGAAAGTGGTCTGCTCATAAAATACTATTAGTTGGTTGGTTTGTTGTTTAACGCCACACTCCGCAATATTCCAGCTATATGACGGCGGTTTGTAAATAATCGAGTCTGGACCGACAATCCAGTGATTAATATCATGAGCATCGATCCACGCAATTGGGATGCATTAACCAAGTCAGCGGGCCTGACCACCCGAACCCGTTAGTCGCCTCTTACGACAAGCATAGTCGCCTTTTACGGCAAGCATGAGTTGCTAAAGACCTATTCTTCCCCGGATCTTCACGGGTATTAAGACCAGCAGACCTGGCAGTATTATTGTCACCAAGAATATATATACATGTAAACCTGTGAGAACTGTGCAGTTGGAGATGAGATTTGAGAGTTGAAGATCTTGTTGTGAAACGTCCTGCACCTGCGTTGACTTTATCCAAGTATTCGGTAGAGTACCAACTTCCACTCGGGATATAATGGCCCAAGCAAGAACAGAAAGCGGTAGTTCAGTTCAACGCGAGTTTCTTTTTCGTCTTGGTCAATGTTCAGTCATGTCAAATTCTTTTTTAGACTAATGACAGTGTTAACAGTGCCGTTTCAAGATACTGTCCCAATTTTAGCCTTTGACATTCGTTCCTGCTGTGCATATTTGCGGTAGAAACAATCATTAGTGTAGCGATATGTTTTATTATAAAAGACCACTTTGTCATTTAACGCATTATAATTACAACAGTGTTTGATAATAACTATGATCTTTTCCCATTTGTGTATCGAACAAATATGTGAATAAATGTTCTTTGCGATTCGTTGGGCATTCAATTGAACCTGGTCGTATATCTTTCTCCTTGTCATCTCCTCCTCTTCAGCACTAACCTCCAATACCTCAACTGACATTATTTACCCACGGTTTCACTGTCATATTCACCTTGCCTTGTATATTGTATATATTCCTTCTTCACAGTATCCACACGCAATTAAACAACCATTGCATTCACGTACCATACACCACACCCGCACATCCACAATAAATTACGCCGTGTCAGTCCCCACGGTTGAAAGTGCATCATTACCTCAATCAGATTCAAAGTATACAGCCAGCATGATATGAAATACATGTCTAGTAGTTGTAGTTGTGGGTTCTAGACACAGCCTCAATCTTATCCAAGGTATACCCCTTAAATGTTCATTCAACCTAGATAAGCAATGTTTGGATCACATCTGTCTTGAGGATGTGTATAAGTTTTGTGAATGAGAACGAAATGTTCACATGAATGTAAGATATGTTGTCCGTATGTTTTGTAAAGTTTTCATGTCAAACATTCATGATATCGATATGGCCATGCTCTTTTACTATAATACTATAGGCCATACTATAATGGTATTGCGTGTAATGCATGGCAAAGATATGTATTGTATTTATGATGGCGATGGAAGTTATGATTAAACTGTACCGATATAGGTTAGGTTTGAAGTATACCAGAAGAGGAGGGAGAGGGGATGTAAGCTAGAAGAATGAAGTTTGGGAACAAAGGAGATACATTTAGCTGTTATCAAATTACACATTTTGTCTTTATAATGTTTTCCTGATTGTGACACTGTTCCACATTGATCTGCGGCACTTTTTGCTTAATCTAAATATATATCTAATGTGTTTGTAATATTTTTAGATGCAACATGCACAACGTTATATGTAACCACTAGTTATTGTGTGATTCCTTATTTCTAATGTTTGCGGTATAAAAATCTTCATTTCCCTTGTATTTTGAGTTACATTTTCTGCCGTAACAATAAAACCACTCGGGCCTTGGGTGCATGTAACACTTCTTCTTAAAGGATCAACGCTGCACATTATTAAAGAGTTTTAAGAAATATGCTTGATAACTGCAGAGGTAAGATAATCACTCGGATATAAGAGCGGAATCTAACATACACTCTGAGAGACACCCGACCGTCGGTGCCCCGACTTAAACTTCAAAGACCAGAGTTGCTGTCCGGCTATGCCTACAAAGAACAAGTTACACACCAGGTGGTTTGATCTAAAGCCTGTTTTAACTACATAGATTGGCGTCTTTGCAATTTATATCCCGGTAGAATATAATACCCTCTGTATTTAGATCTGGTGTATCTGTGTATTAGAACTGAGAATTGTTCTTTATTGCTGCTTGATTATTCATATTGACATGTTGGACTGACTCAGGCTGTGTGAATCTAGCCGATGATTGCTTACACTCATCCTTAAGACTTGTTATAGGATTTGTCTCTCGGTATTTTCAGTTGTATGATCTAAGTCACCTTAAGTGTGTATTGCCCAAATACAATCTGAGGACGTTATACCCAAACACCTTAACCTTCATATAAACAAATCGCATGGTATTTGAAACACTGTTAACATATATGTATAGTAGTCCTATATATTTTTAAAATGATAAAACATGTATAATAATGCATGCCAACTACCAACTACCATCTGAGATGAAATTGAATCTTCTACACGAAAATTGCTTTTAGTTAGGTCATCAACGTTGTATGTCAAATATATGCATGCATTAAAGGCTCGAAGTGTGGAAGGTCTCGACAATGTGTATCTTGTATATATGACTATTTAAACATGTAAGTACTGGACAACCAACAGACAAAAGAACCATCTCGTTACTGTCAGAGGCCAGTCGAAGACATAGCCGTGCAGTGATTGAGAGAAAGACAGGTGTCAATTGTAGATGAACAAGTACAGGTCAACCAACAGACAAATGAACCACCTCGTTACTGTCAGAGGCCAGTCGAAGACATAGCCGTGCAGTGATTGAGAGAAAGACAGGTGTCAATTGTAGATGAACAAGTATAAGACAACCAACAGAAAAAAAGGACCATCTCGTTACTGTCAAAGGCCAGTCGAAGACATAGCCGTGCAGTGATTGAGAGAAAGACAGGTGTCAATTGTAGATGAACACGTACAGGACAACCAGCAGGCTCCCTGAAGGTGGATGATGGATTCCACCTGTATCTGTCCCTTGATCACGGATAGATACATTGGCATGTTGGGGATGCAATATCATCCTCTGTCCTACGAGTTCAGGTAGTTGTGGAAGGGGCAGCCATCCTGAGTGGAATGTGTGTTCATAGTTATTGCCATGGGAAATGTTAATGTTCCGTTATTGAATGTGTTAATAAGGAATCGCAGGAGACAGGAGAGTGGCAGCTAATGTTTATTTTTACACCAGTTCGTTTTATACTTCAATTTACATGCATAATCACAGTGATAATCTTGGGTAAGTGGACACAAGGGTGAACGACTAATTGTACAGGATTATTTTAGAAATTGTGCTTTATGTATTTGCTTGTCTCCCACAGCTGTATAACGATATGTGAATTCTCTCTGTGAATGGTATTGTACGTAATTTCTGAAAAAAGAAAGGTCCACATTTAGTTAGTATGGAACAAACAAATTCTAAACAAACGCCCATCCATAAAAAATATTTCTCTGCGATCAGACAATGTTTTCTAAACAATTTATTTATTGATGTACTTATACTGATTGTCCATTGTACTTCATACACAATCCTTGTTAAAGACGAGAAGACACGTCTATTGTCAAGACCGGGTGGTATATTACATGAAGTATACAGTATGTCGCGTGAGGTTTGCGACTGGGTTTTCGACCCTGGGTAGAGGCTCGCATGACCCTCCCCTGTTTCCACTTCATCATTCACTGATTGGATTTTTGGCCGTTGCCTTTTAGGGGGATGCTGGAGTCGCTTATTACGTCATGCAGTAGCCTTTTAAGGTAAAGGTTAAGACTGGCTACTGCACTAGATGCATAGGGGTTGTGGACGAGGTACTAAGTGGTCTGGTCATATAAGCATATTAAGAATATGGTCAGGAAGCTTAGGATGTTTATGCATGTACATTTAAGCCCACCAGAGTTGGCAGATGGAGTTGAGATGTTGAGAGCTGAACGTCTTCTTGCGACGAATAAATGTTGTGGACCTTTATGCGGACTTGTGTTGTTGCTATCGAAGTGTCCTGTAGAATGCCAACTACTACTCCCGACATGTTCTTGTGTGTTTCATCAAAGAGGTACACATTATCACATAACTGCATCTTTTTTAGCTTTCCTCACAAAGTAAGATGACACGCAATGATGCAACTGAAATACTGTTACAAATAGTGTTAAACCCAACTCAATCGAGTTCTGTCATATAATAGGGGGAACAGGTGGCCCAGTCGTCTATGGCGCCGCAATTCGCTGTGCAGAGCTGCGTTCCTTGGGCACGCCAGAAACCTATGATTGTGTGTACGAATCCCGGTTCGCCCCGATAACGTTTCTAGGTTTGTCAGCACCATACCCGTGCTCGTGGGTTTCACCAAAGTGGTAAACGTCTGAGACCTGCATCTCTCCAGCTTTCCTCCAACATTAAGCTGTCACGCCATGATATAATTGGAATAATGTTAAACGCTGCGTTAAACCCAACCCAACTAAATCAAAAGCGTTTCATAAGCTTTCAACGCTAGCACTAGTGTCATATTTGTGTATAATTATATGCTATTCCATCACAACCAAGAAACTATTTCGAAATCGCTGTGACATTAACAAAACACGAACACTAATGTAACACAAGGCGGTTGCTAGAGAGCCAGCCGCACATGATCACAAGCGTAACGGGTGCCATGGACTGGCAGCACATGTACAAAAACTTCACGCACGGTGGGTGCTAAGGGAAAGGGTTACAGTGAATACGTTTTCATAATACAACTATTGATTATTGGCATGGCAACGGAAGTAACCATAGTGCACAAACAATCCATGTTTATATAAAACTTTTCTATTATTCTGCCCTACAAATACTTACTTTTCGGTGGGGCAGGATACGCTCACCTTTTCGCGAACTCTATTTTATAGTGATTCATAAACACATGCTCACGATATAGTCGGAATTGTACAGTCGACTCTGCTTTAAGCAGAGATTTCTATTGGCTTTAGAAAGGGTTTTGTCGCTTTATTGAAACCGCTCTATTATTATGCTCAACCAGTCTTTGTATTTATGTGGACATTCACATGTATTCTAATTTTCACACCCTACACTTTATATTACATAACCTACAGAGTGTGTGTAAACTGTTCATTATCTTCTGTTTACATATCTCGAAATCATTATGGCAAACGTTTGTTGGATTTCACGACCATCATATCACAACCTGTCAAGACTTAATTGTCTTATGTAGAATCCCACATTAGAACAAAAATATTGTAGCTATTTATCATAGAGGCGCGGAATTCATCCCTTATATTAGCAACTACATTATATGTTTGTGTGTTGTTAACAGCATGTATAAAATCATTGACATAAATACTGTATTATTGATGGTGTTAGATGAACATCCATACGTATATGTTGTTGCACCTTCTGTTTCATGAACACTCACGTATGTGTTGTTGCACCTTCCGTTTAATGAAGACCAATCAATATGTGTTGTTGCACCTTCTGTTTCATTAACGCTATTGTGCGTGCGATGTTGCACCTTCTGCATAATGAACACTATTCGCATGATTTTGTTTTCAGATATGTCTAATTAGCTTACATAAAATGAGACTCGTGAAGATCCGGGGTAGACAAGGTCTTCAGCAACCCATGCTTGCCGTAAAAGGCGACTATGCTTGTCGTAAGAGGATACTAAATGGATCGGGTTGTCAGGCTCGATGACTTGGTTGATGCATGTCATCGATCCCAATTGCGTGGATCGATGCTCATGATATCAATCAATGGATTGTCTGGTCCAGACTCAATTATTTACAGACCGCCGTCATATAGCTGGAATATTGCTGAATGCGGCGTTAAACAACCAACCAACATAAGATGTGTTCCCTAAAAGCTACTTTCTTAAAAGGGTTCCTCATCTATAATGCCCAAAGATACAGAGCTTATTTTCTATTATTATTACTTCATGCTCTCACTTTTACATGTTTGTTATATCCCCCCCCCCCCCCCCCCCCCCCGGTTCTGATGTCACAGAGTCACCCACTCAGGCACCGATTTCTTTGCCTGTTATTTGAGAAGATGGGTCAAATCGTGAATCACTGTCGGTTCATGAATTTTGATGACATTGTGTAATTGGGAATTGGTGATCCCGGAATGACATAACATACGCGAAACTGTTATGATAACGTCATAATACAGGATATGACGCCTTCCTTAATTTTGATCTGTTTCTTGTATGAATCGTAATATCCACTCAGAATGTCAAATTATTTTGTTGTGATGACTCCAGGTGTTCGCGAAAAGGTGTGAGTATCCTGCCCCACCAGTGGCACCCATCACAAGCATGTGCAAGGACAAACCAAATGTTCCCCTGAATAAATATGGCAACATATGATACAAGCTGAATTAGGGAATGGCATGGGGCATGATTATTGTCACTTATGCGTCCAAATTAATTTGGAAATGTTACTTTACCGGGGGACCGCTTTCGTGGTCTCTTGATAGAGCGTCTGCCCGGAGCGTTCGGGGTTTATGTTTTATCAATTATTTTCATGTATCAGCTCGGCGATGAGCTTACAAGTGGTCATGTTTCAACAAAACAAATTGCGAGTTATGTCGCGCCCACACGTGTCATCTACGCTCATCAACAGCTGGTCAACGCGGTCTTGTAGTAGAGCGTCCGCCCAGAAAGCGGAAGGTCCGGCGTTCGATCCTCGGCCGCGTCATACCAAAAGACGGTAAAAGATGGTACTTGTTGTTACCCTGTCTACCGCCTCCTTGATCTACTGGTAGAACGTCCGCCCGGAGAGCGGAAGGTCCGTCGTGCGGTGCCCGGTCGCATCATTCTAAAAGACGTTAAAAGATGGTACTTATTACCCTCTCTGGCGCTCGGCAATAATGGGCTAGAAATAGGACTGGTCGGCTCAGAATACTGCCTATTACTGATTAAACTGCGGCGTGGTATCTGAGTGTGCTAGAGTGTGCCGAGTGTGTTCCCTGTAACCTGTATTTGTTTATCAGGTTAACTGTAATATATGTATAAAGGGTACGTCTGTTTTTTAATCACACATGTGAAATTGTTGATCTCAGAGACAGACTGCAACAACAGTTTTATTTATCCTCTCAGCGGCGACATCTGACAAATGAAATTAGCTTTCATGTCACAATTAACATCATTCCAACCGTATCCATAACCTTTGTAAGCTTCGAGACAGTGTTCATTATTTTTGTAGTTAGTTGGTTGCCCTGGTTCCCAGTTGGTGTAAGTAAAGGGCTTGTTTCCCGTCCATATCCAGCGTCCCTCCAGGCCGAGGTCGGTGCCCCCCAGGTAGTATCTTTCAGCTTCATTACATGATAAGAAAACAAAGAATGTGTTTAGTATGAGACAACTGGCCTGTTTCAACATATATGACAACATGGGTATGGGTATTCATTATTATAGGAAATAACTTTTGTACACGTATCTTTTATAACGTATCACAAACCATGCAAATATATATTTACATACCTATACGTATTAAACCTCGTTTTACGCTACAATTACGCTATTGGAATGAAAAGAAATTTCCTATATACATTGCTATTTGTATATGTATCATGTTTGGGAGAGGCATTCAGATAAGCAAAATTAGCTTGTTTGCCAATCCCTCCATTTTATGGAAATAAATATATTTATATCATACAATTTTCCAATGACGTGTGTACCATTGAATTTGGGGTAAAGCAATGATAATTGGCACTTCTGAGTATACCCACCTTTTCCCCGCTGGGTCGCATACCCTCTGACAAAGGCATCCTCGGTGTGACTGGTGATGGCGACCAGATCACTGCCCAGGAAGCGACAGATTGACTGTGAAGAATAAAGAACAATTCTAACTTATGTCACACATTCTTCATAGGACGTATGAACAAAGGAACATATGTTAAAGAGTTTACACCATCTCTTCAGCTGTTCAGGAATAAAACTTTGATGGTTTACACTCTTAGGGGAACAATTACTCTTTTTCAATCCACTGCATCCAACCATCAACAATCTCAGTTACTCATTTTATGCTACAAAGTTAAGAAAATCCCTTACTTCCTACAAAACACATTGTTAATCAATCTTATCACTTTATGCAGTTCCTTATTAGGAGATCAATCAATAAATGAACGTAAGCAATGCAAAAAACAACAACTTTAGAAGTAAAACTTTTTATCCTTGCAGTGAAGGTAATGTGTCACACATACACAGGTTTTGTTGCATCAGAGATCACCCTTAAAATAATTCGTCCTATCAAGATCTTATGGTGGTATTGATTATTTTATGTGGACATTTGACCAAACACATGATACATATTTTCTCCAATACAGAAACGTCTTAATCATGCGAAAGAAAGCTGGAAAATTAGTTTTTCCATTTTCCAAATGTTGTCTCAACTAAATAAAATTCATACACCCTAACATATGTTTTTTACCAATTGCGTCAAGTTGGATACAATAACGTAACTGATTTGTAGATGTGTGTCAAGAAATAACCGCCCACAAATCTGATGACGTTTCAGACTTCTGGATTGTATAAATCACTTACCCTCGCTTCTGCAAATGTTCCTTTTATGTTCGAGAGCCAATAACAAGAATTTCCATGCTTGTGGAATCCGCCTGTGCACTTCGTGCCTGTATATAACAGTGAGAGCCACTACAGAGTTCATTCTTACTGTAGTAATTATAGGAAAGAATATAGCTTGTCAGGATCAGGTCGGATTCCTTGTCCTATGATAACAAACTAAATAGGGTTTTACGATAAACATGTGTTGTTGAAGATCATTTCCTTTTAATCTGCCTATTACCTTGTGTATGGAATGTGGACTTTAGAAGTAAACTTCCCCCCTTTAGTTACAGCAGCTGAAGATGAAATGGAAGCCGTCACCATCATCATTCTGATCACAGCATCTGTAAGTTGCTATGGTGACCCATTTCAGTTGTGAGTGTCATGATATGAAACTAAGATTTTACGATGCAGAATGCGGAAAACTTGGGGGGACTTTGAAATGTCTGTGTTCTCACCTTTCCCTTGACATTGTACATGGGATACTGTTTCCGGAGAGGCTGAGGAAACAGAGCATTGGCGCACGTACAAAAAACACTACAACAGTGGAAGACTGTGGAGACAATATGTCTTTACTACCCACCTTCATCATAGAGTTGCTTGCAACAGCACAACGGTAGAAGACTGGGGAGACGATATGTCTTTACTACCCACCTTCAACATTGAGAGGCTTGCAACAGCACAACGGTAGAAGACTGTGGAAACGATATGTCTTTACTACCCACCTTCAACATTGAGAGGCTTGCAACAGCCTAACAGTGGAAGACTGTAGAGACAATATGTCTTTTCTACCCACCTTCAACATAGAGAGACTTGCAAGAACCTAACAGTGGAAGACTGTAGAGACAATATGTCTTTACTACCCACCTTCAACATAGAGAGACTTGCAAGAACCTAACAGTGGAAGACTGTAGAGACAATATGTCTTTACTACCCACCTTCAACATAGAGAGACTTGCAAGAACCTAACAGTGGAAGACTGTAGAGACAATATGTCTTTACTACCCACCTTCAACCTAGAGGGGCTTGCAACCGCACAAGAGAAAGAGAGACAATGTGCCTTTACTACCCACCGTCAAGATAGTGTGGCTTGCAACAGCACAACAATGAGAGAACGTGGAGTCAGTCTGCATTTTCTACCCACCTTCAACATAGAGAGGCTTGCAACAGCCCAACAGTGGAAAACTGTAGAGACAATAGGCTTTTACTACACACCTTCAACATAGAAAGGCTTGCAACAGCCCAACAGTAGAATGCAGTAGAGATTGTCTGCATGTATTACTCTCCTCCAACACAGAGGGGCATGAAACAGCCCAGCAGTAGAACTATTCTGCTATCTGACAAAATACCTATTTTTCATATCATGTCCCTTTTGCTATATTGTTGTGTGTCACGAGAAGAGGCTCGATTAAAAAATATATAATTATAAATTATAAAAAAATAATTATACATAGGGTGTTATTATACATAGGGTGTCATCTCTACTGCTATATTCTTGCAAGCATCGTCTTTCTGAGAACAGTGATTAACTAGTCGTCCTTTCACGTCCTAACTTCACCACCGTTCACTCAGCCAGAAGGACACTCAGTGAACAGTGGTCGAACATGGGCAAAGGTCATACTATTCTGAAACTGACGACTTTGACAGATCGATCAGCCAAAGTGTAAGTGTTAGTTTTCAGTTCATGGTATGCCTTGGTGGTCAGTTAGATTCCTACCTTCAACACCACGGGGAAGGGACCAGCACGCAAGACACAGCAAGCTTAAGATGCAGGTTAACGTTTCCATCTTGGAGCGGCACATATCAACCAAACTACACGTCCAATCCTTTATACACATCCAGTTCAGGAACTGTCCAATGATGCATCTACACGTTGATGGATGGCTCCATTATAATAACGCTTACTACGCGTATTACCATGACACACATGCGTATGTTCCCATAACTTGAACTGCCAAACTGCTTCAGTTTAAGTGGTTGTCAGTGTCACAGTTGCATGTCACATTATTTTCTGCATCATCAATTGTGCAGCAGGTGTGTGTAACTTAGTCCTATTAATAAGCAATAAGTCTTCCCTGTGTATTTACATCTATAGGATTAAGAGTGGGTATGGTTTTACGCCGCTTTTGGAATATTCCAGCAATATCACGGCGGGGGACACCAGAAATGGGCTTCACACATTGTACCCATGTCGGGAATCGAACCCGGGTCTTCGGCATGACGAGCAAACGTTTAAACCACTAGGCTACCTGACCGCCCTATAGGATGAAGAAAACTTTAGAGCACGCAATGATTATATAATCCCACTTTATTTTTCTTTGTTTTCGTTGGTTTATTTTCAAACAGCTGTGCTAAAATGATTGAGGTGTTATGTGCTTTAACGTCGTGTTCAAAAATTTTACACTTATATTGAGAGGGCCTGCACCTGTGTGCGTGTGCGTGTGCGTGTGTGTGTGCGTGTGTGCGTGCGCGTGTGTGTCTGCTTGTATGCCGAGTTTATAGTGCTAGCCCACTGAGATACCATGCCACAGTTTAACATGAAAACCCCACTCAGACACAGTATACTCTGAGCCGAACAGTGTTCGTTTTAACTCCTTAATGCCGAGCGTCAGGCAGGGTAACATTAAGTACCATCTTTTAACGTCTTTTGGTATGACGCGATCTGGGGTTCGCTTTACGGACAGCCGTTCTACCATTAGACCACGGACGCGGTCTGCTAAATCGACGTTCAGTCATATCACATGTTTAAAACATATCTGAACTCTTGGTTATTTAGATGAGAAATATCGGTCTACACCAGGCACCTTGGTATCGTAATACATTGACATCTAGTACAGGACGTCAAAATGACAGAGAAAATAAACTCAACTGGGGAATTTTCCAAAGTATGATTTCATGGAAACAGAACGTATGAAGTTCGTATCATTGCTGAACAGGCTGATAATCTCTTTCAGCAGAGATTTCTTATAGTTCGGTTTTGTCGTATGTCTATACATGTTCTTCTAAAATAGCCATTTTGAGTACTAAATGAATTAGTGGGAATTTACGCCGCGTTGAGAAATTTCGCAATATGATCCCGAGAACACCATAACTGGGATAAGGGTGGGTCTGAAAATGCTTCCCTTTTCGCGAGCACTGGTGCCATTACTTGTGCCATCACCTGGTGCCATTACCTGGTGCAATCACTGGTGCCATTACTGGTGCCATCACCTGGTGCCATAACTGGTGCCATCACCTGGGGCCATCACTCGTGCCACCACCTGGTGCCATCACTGGGGCCATCCCCTGGTGCTATCATTGTTGCCACAACCTGGTGCAATCATCTGGGGCCATCACTGGTGCCATCACTGGTGCCATCGCCTGGGGCCATCACTGGTGCCATCACTGGTGCCGTCACTGGTGCCACCCCTTGGTGCCATCACTGGTGCCATCACCTGGTGCCATCACCTGGTGCCATCACCTATGGCCATCACTGTTGCCATCACTGGTGCCATCACCTGGTGCCATCACTGGTGCCATCACCTAGTGCCATCACCTGGGACCATCACTGGTGCCATTACTGGTGCCATCACCTGGTGCCATCACCTATGGCCGTCACTGGTGCCATCACTGGTGCCATCACCTGGGGCCATCACCTGGGGCCATCACTGGTGCCATCACTGGTGCCATCACTGGTGCCACCACCTGGTGTCATCACCTGGTGCCATCACCTGGTGCCATCACCTGGGGCAATCACTGGTGCCATCACTGGTGCCATCCCCTTGGGCCATCCCCCGGTGCAATCATTGGTGCCATCACTGGCTCTCTATGACCCGTTCATGTGGTATTCGACGCTTCTTTTGCCGTTTGCGCCCATTTGAGTTTGTTTCCGTTGATAATCGAGCGGATTACTCTACGGCGTTGATGTTTTAAATTAACACAGTGTACCATATGATAAATCGCCCTTTACCACAACGAAGAGGATACAGTATTCAACATCGTAAGTGAGTGAGTGAGTATCGTTTTACGCAGCTTTTTTTTCAATATTCCTGCAATACCAAGACGGGGGACACTGGAAATGGGCGTCGCAAATTGTATCCATGTCGGGAATCGAACCCAGGCTTTCGGCGTGTCGAGCGAATGCATTAACCACAAGGCTACCCGACCGCCTCTATTTAACATCGAAGGCATTAAAGTTACATTTAACATTGAGTATAATTCTAATGTTCCCTAGTTTTAAGGGATATTCTGCAAATAATATGAAGAAATTTAAGCTTAGCTCATTTCAGTGTATATGCTGATGTAGAAACAAGGAAACGAACTAATTTACAATCGACACTGTCAGTAAGGACATCAAACATCCGCTTATCGGAAAGCTGGTCACAGAGGCCAGTGTGAACAGTAATTACAAAATGTCACTTGCTATTCTATGTAGTTCCATCTACGTGCGAAGTGTTTTGTAACATATGGTTCTTATCTGTCAGGATGTGTTTGTGTAACGGGTCATCATAGCGAAGTGAACAACTATTGCATGCCTGAATGACACACAATGAAGCCAACATCACTAATCGACATGTTTTGTTCGTTGTTCATATTGTCAGATATGGTATCGCTCAATGTTAATGCCATCTTCAAATGTTAAGTGTAAACTTATTGTACTTGGTATGGGTTTTTAGACATGTTATATCTTATGTACAAGTTATTAAATATACATGGATCTACTACGCGGTGAATGTGTATTCATTTCAAGTTCGTTTCCCATTAAGTCCCTCACTCACTATTAAATATATCTGTTACCCCACGGTGTATGGCATCTGTGTATTCATTTCAAGTTCGTTTCCCATTAAGTCCCTCACTCACTATTAGATATATCTGTTACCCTACGGTGAATGGCATCTGTGTATTCATTTCAAGTTCGTTTCCCATTAAGTCCCTCACTCACTATTAAATATATCTGTTACCCCACGGTGTATGGCATCTGTGTATTCATTTCAAGTTCGTTTCCCATTAAGTCCCTCACTCACTATTAGATATATCTGTTACCCCACGGTGTATGGCATCTGTGTATTCATTTCAAGTTCGTTTCCCA